CGAGCATCGTGAAGACCTAGAAGGTGGGTAATCATTTACTCACTTCATAGATGAGAACAAAGGCTCAAAAAGCCCATCACTTCCCCAAGGCTAAGCAACTACCTGCGTGGCAGAGCGCGCAGGGCCCGGAGGCCGGACCTGCCCAACACGGGGCGGGGCGGCGGGGGGGCTGGTCTGAAGACCGTCCTGGGTGCATGTGTTAGCAGTGAAGAAGGAGCAGGGAGTTTGTGAAATGCCAAATTGAAATGGAGCATGGAAGGATAGGAGGCGTCCTCCGTATTGGATGGGATAAGAATCAAGGAGGAGAAAACACTGTTCAGGGGGATGAGTGGGACCAATGAGGGGCAAGGGCAGCCAGGTTACAGGACAGAGGGTAGTGAGTTGTAGAGGCTGGGAAGAGGGGGCTCTTGAGTGCCACACCAAGACATACCCCACCCCACCCCAGGGCCGGACAGAGTGGCCAGAGGGCACTGCTGTGGGTTTTAAAGTTGACAATGGCATGATTCTGGCAGCCAGCAGGGAGCAAGGAGAGTCCAGGGCAAGTCTACTAAGTTGGCAGGTTAAGGAAAGCAATGAGCAAAGTAATTTCCCTTATATTGTAGGTGATAACTGGAGGGGTCCTATACAAGTTTGTAATCCAACTGTTACCACTACCAACCCCTCCTCCAACAGTTTTATCTACGGGTTGTCATTTCTTTCTTTTATCCCAACTTCTGAAGGATCCCAGTGACCCCCAAAGAACCCAGCATCCTGCAGAGAAGGGAGGGGAGGTCAGTGTTACCTAAAGAGGAAGTGAGGCCTGGCAGACGGTAGCCCGCACTGCTAAGGCTCCCAGAACACTGAGTGTCACTCTGTGTCTCAAAGATGTCTCAAAATGAGAACTCTACAGGCTCTCCCTCAGTTTCTCTTTACTCCCATAACATCCTGGAAGCTTATTCCCTTTTGTTCAGCCTCCAAAGGGGAAGGAAAAAGAACCTGAGCCAAGTGAGGGGTCCTCCTGAAGGCCAGAAAGTGAAAATGTTCCCACTGCCGGGAGTGGGTGGGGTGCATCCGCCCCCTGGAGTGGCCATCACGGCAGCATCTGCCAGGGGAAACGGTCCCCGCCATGTCCACGCCCCAGGCCACTCTACCACCTGGGTTCACAGAACTATCTTCCCACATGAGCACAAGAGCAGGAGGCTGAGCAGAGAGATTCCTGATTGCGTTTCTCCTCAGATTCAAGCTTTTAGCGAGTGGGCAGCAGGCCAGGAGAAGAAAGCCGCCATTCCCATTCTCAGTGCCCAGGGAGCTGAGCCACAGGGTGGGGGAGACGCTGTTTGAAGGAGGCGCTTTAGAAATTCCTCGCATTTTTTTGGCCTTTGTCTCTGGGCATTGAGATGGAGATCCACGTTTGCCTCTGCAGAGAGCTCTCAGTCTCTCCTCTGCATTCAAAAGGAAGATCCTAGCAGAGCAGAAAGAATTCGGAGGCTGTTTTCCCATCTCAATGACCAACTGAGTCCTTCGGGTGTAGGGGGTACTGCGGGGGAGACTGGTTTTCTTTTACTCCTTCACGGCATCTCCCTCTCTCACCTCTGGCCCCAGTCCCGGCCCCAGGTCATCAGTGATGTCAGTGTGATGCCCCTTTCTGAGAAGAGCTGTTCCCCAGTACTCTCAGGGTTCCGGGGGAGCATCAAAGGCACCTGTATGCTGGTAGAGACAACTGAGAGCCAGGACGCCTGGGTCCTGACGGCTCTGCAGGACCTCAAGCCCAACCACTGCGGACCTGATATCTCATTCCTCCCATCTCTCAACTTGCTGAAGAGTTTGGCC